TTGTATCTACCACGCCAGGCGAGAACCCTATTTCCCACCTTAGACACAGCCGGAGCAAAGTCCTTGGCATGAAGCACCACAGGAGATATAGGCAGCCCCAAATACTTGAAGGGGAAGGAGCCTAGGGAGCAATTTAGCAGCCTAGAAACTCTCAGGGCCTCTGTATCGTCGACGCCAATGACAAGAACCTCACTTTTGGAAAAGTTGATTTTCAGACCCGAGACAGCCCCAAAGCAAAGCAGGATGAATTTAAGGTGGGCAATGCAGACGTCATTCAACTCAACTATAATGATGGTATCATCAGCGTACTGCAGGTGGGTAACACCATCCGGGACAAGATGAGAGGCCACAGGCAAGATATGACCATGCCGAGCCGCCCTAAGAAGAATGCGGGAAAAGGCGTCGGCCACAAAATTAAAGAGCACAGGGGAGGCAGGGTCCCCTTGACGCAAGCCTCGGCCGTTAACAAAGAAATTACTAATATGACCATTCACAGAGACCGCGGTATGCCCGCCCGAGACCAGCTGCATTATACGATGCACATAAGCCCCGTCGAAACCTTTCGCAAGCAAGACCTTCCTTAAAAAGGGCCAGCTAACCGAGTCATAGGCTTTCTCAAAGTCAAGTTTTAAAATGATCGCTTTGGAGTTGCGAGCCCGCAGATCATGAACAATTTCATGAAGACAGAGGATCCCATCTAGAATGTAGCGCCCTTTGATGAAAGTAGAATGATACGGGCTGATGACTCTATGGGCAACGGGGGATAAACGATTGGCGAAACCCTTCGCAGGGAATTTAGCAAAGTTATTAATCAAAGCGATGGGCCTAAACTGAGAGATCAATTCAGCACCTTTAACCTTAGGGATCAGGGAAATCACAGCATAATTAAGACGAGAAATATCAACCGTGCCTAGGCAAAACCCTTGGATGACACTACAAACTAACTGCCTCAACTGAGGCCAAAACTTCCGGAAGAAAGGAATAGAGAAACCGTCCGGCCCAGAAGCAGCGTTCGGGTTGGCAGAGTTAACCATATCCCAAATCTCCTTATCCGAGAAGGGGATCATCAATGCAGCGTTCTCCTTGGCCGAAACCCTCGAACTATGGTCCCATAGGGAAGGGGAGATGGGCAGACCGGAAGGAGGTTTGGCCCCTAACAATGAAGAAAAGAACTCAACCACATGAGATAGGATTAACGATTGGTCCGAAGTACGCACACCATTAATGACCAGGCTATGAATACCACAACGCCTCCGCCTACCACTAGCAATGGCAAAGAAGTAAGCCGTGGGGGAGTCCCCTTTTAGGGTCCAGTTAAGCGTATCCCGCTGACGCCAGTAAACTTCCGCCTGATGATGCAACTGCATCAAGGCAGCCTCCAGGTTATACCGTAGAGATCATCCATCGTCAGAGAGCCCAGAGGAGTCAGCCGCAAGGTCAAGAGACAGGATTTGGGCTTCGAGAAGATCTTTGGAGCGACGCTCCTCAGCTGCATGGTTACGGGACCACCCTTTCAGAAATTTCCGCACAGAGTAAGAGCACGAGTGCCAATCATCTAGAGGACCAAAGGAGCGGCGTTGGAGGAGAGAAGGAGGGTAATCTTCGAGGCGAGCATATCACTGAAGCCATCAATCAACAACCAAGAAGCGTCAAACTGGAAACGGGCAGGTGGTCTATGAAGCTGCGACCCATCGTCCATAAGAAGAGGGGTATGGTCCGAACCCACAATACATTTGCCAACGAGGGAGGCCCTGGGAAATAACGAGTCCCACCTAGAGCAGATAAAGACTCTGTCTAGAACCGATCTGATCGGGTTAGTCTGGTGGTTAGACCAAGTGAAGCGGGCTCCGACCCTAGGTATCTCACGGATGACATTAGAACTAATAAAGTCATTGAAAGCATTAGCCAGAGGCCACGAGAAGTTGTTATTATTTTTATCAGAAGTGGAACGAAGGAGATTGAAGTCTCCACCGATAACCATCGGTAGATTACAAGCCTCAATCTTCTCAGAGAGCTCGTCCAGAAATAGAGAGGAAAGAGAATGATCAGCAGGCCCAAAAACTACAATGAACTCCCATAACAAATTAAGGGCTTTGTGGCAAACAACTATGCTGGCCCAGAAGATACCATGATCAAAGGCAACGAAATCGAAAACATCTCTTTTAGAGCCAATGAGGATGCCCCCCGAATGGCCCGACGCGGGTAACACATGCCAAAAAAATCTATCCATACCCGCAATAGATGACAATTCATGAGGAGAGAAAGAAGCTTTGAAAGTCTCCACCATCCCTATCAAATCAATATTACTCCCACGAACGAAGTCTTTAATTTGATCCCGGCGCCCCCTAGCACCGAAACCCTAATGTACCAGAATAGAGCCCTCATTTATAAGACAGATATTTAATGCGGAGGCTAGACCTGCTAGGAACCATGCAGGGTTTGGAGCGCTTGGAAGGGCCCTTTTTAGAAGTGCTAGGCAGGGGTTGGCCACTACCAACCTCCACCCCCTCACCCTGAGCCCGGGTTCCTACAGAAGCAGCAGCCAAAGAGGCAACAACCTCTTTAGCTTTAGCAATAGCCGCCTGGGCCAGCTCGTTAGCCCGAATAGTAGAAAGAAGAGTAACAGGAGAACAAACTTCAGGATCTACCGACACTCCCACATCCGACATAATATTTAACAGGAAATCATCAGATAAAGATGGTAGGACTAGTCGGGACGGGGAAGAAGGACAATGGCCATGTTGATTACCTGGAGGAGGAAGATCTTTAGCAGCAGCCCGCCTCTCCGCCCGTTCCATGATGGAGCCACCCGCATCAGCAACCCGCCTACCTTTGCGAGCCGTGGACGCGGGCGACCGAATCGCAGAAGAAGGAGCCACGGGAGAAGCCGGGACGAGGCCAGAGCGAGACATCGAGCCGAGATCCTTGTCGAGGCGGCGACAGACGCCAGTCATGGACTGCTTGGCATGGAAGGAACGGTTTGCAAGACCTTTCAGTTGATAAAGAAGGTGATCCTGTAAGTATCAGTATGAGGAGGTAGTAGTAATAGCAAGCTCAAGTACCCCTAACCTTGTCGTACATAGATAGAGCAATAAATACAATGAGTGAATAAATACAGATTTTGTGACAAGACAAAATACTACAAATTGTATTTTTTTACTTCCTCCTAATATTGTCAGACGTACCCATAAATTTTCTACTTTAGACGACTGAACTGGAAACAGATATGACCCCATCACCACTCGGATTCTCTATGGACTTATGATACATCTTAACTGAATACATATTCATCAGTGTATCTCAAACAGACAAGCGGGATAAATAGAAACTCCATGGACATAGACACGGAAATGATAGCGGCGGCCGTGAAAGTATAGGGTTCGCATTGTTGATCAGAGGTACAATAGAACATCAGACTAGAATTCAAGTACACAGACACCAGTTACAGAAGAGTTGCAAGAATCGGGACGTGTCAAGTGTCATCCATCAGCGATAGTTGCAACAAGCAGAGTTGACAAAACTTGACGGTAAATCAGAAGATGCGGAGTGAAGTTGGCATGGCGGCCCGTAGGGATAGACCGCGACTGAACCCACCTGAGGACGCAGCGTCCCCGCTAGCAGAGCACCGAAGGTGTCTCCTGGTGGTGATGGATTAGTAGCACAGTCCACCTCGGTGGCAGTGGCCCAGTACTGTGCTCGACGACGGCGGAACTCTGCCGTGAAATACGGTGGCAAATCATGGAGGGGAACGGGGGGTCCGGTGGGCACCGCAGGTGGAAGCTTGGGAAGTGACGTGGCCACCGCTTTTTCAACAGAATTTAACTCACCGTTGCTTCGTTTTCCAATAGATAGCTACTAGTGTTCGCTGCGAGGTTGAACATGACTGTTCATAATCACCTCAAAAAAATTGAACATCTTTTTAGTATATCTAAATGTAGGAAGTTCATATCCGACAAGTTATTGTTATGAATACACCTATAACTCTACTTTTAGACATAACTCGCAGAATATATACATATAATTTATATTAAACTTTTATATTTTTACATTTATTTTTATTATAATAATTTTGTAATGAGGATACCTTTTTGTTTAGTTATTATATTAACCACATAATAATGTTGCTCATGATTGATTATAGTGTTGTATATACAATTATCATGAAAAATGCACTTATGTTTGCTAAATTGATAATATATTTTGTATTATGTTAAGTTTTTTCTTGACTTGAATTTGTTTTAACACGAAAAATTGCAGAAACTGTTTTAACAATTTCATGGACTATATAATGTGTATGTATTTTTTTTTGTGTGTGTGTATGTTCATATATATTTTAATATCCTTTGGGATCTTTTATGTGGGTGTGTACCCTTAAATATCTTGGTAGATATCTCTAGCGTGTATAGTCGTACAATTTTTCTAATAGTGGCATGTAATATTTGCATAGGTAACCACTGAAGTATCCAGTAGCATCTTCTGATCGAGTATCAGTTTTACAGCGTAAAATGACAGTTACAGTTAGCAGTTAGCACAACAACAGAGAAGTTTCTGCACGACGAAAAGAACAGTTAGCAGATTGCAATACTCTTCCATCTTTTCACCACCGGTGGTCATACATAACCAACCTACAGTTAGCACAACAACTCTGTATTTTTCGAGTTTAGGAGCCCTCCGCTCCTGATTTTGTTCAACAACTCTGTACTAGACTTTGATCAATATATTCAGGTGGGGGAGAGTGCACCCACAAACAGGCACGCACAAATCAATACAATCCAGGTCTGGAGAGTACAATGAACTAAAACCAAACACACAAGTGCACCCACAAAAGGTGCACGAATTACACAAAGCATAAAGGATTCAGATACAATGAGGCGCGAGGCTGAAAGAAGATGACGGGGCATTCTTACAGCCAGGCAGCCAGCTGCCCCTTTAGCCAGGAAGATAAATGAGTGAGGCGAACACCAACCAAAGCGTGTTTCCAGTTGACGGAGAGCAATCAATCACTTGCTCGTGGAGGTGGAGGCAGCAGCAGTAGCTCCATGGCGTGGCGTGTGCTTAAAATCGGGATCGTTGAGGTGCTTTCGAAGTGCTCGTCTCACTCGGCCTGGATCACAGTCACCATTGAGCTCGAGCTTCTTCAGCTTGAGAAGGCCGCAGACTCCAGAAATAGACTCCATTTTGGGGAAGGACCACACAATCGTCCCGAGCTTGGGAGCCGCTCCGGTGTCAAAGGTAATGTTGCTGATGATGCTGTCATCGACGACCAATGAATTGAGGCTCTTGAACTCTCCATCCTTGAATGCGAGCCTGCTTCCGGCGTACGAATTGCGCCGAAGCCTGAGGCAATACAGAGCTGTAAGCTTGCCAAGGATGCGTATATAATCTGCAGTAACGTAGGTCTCGCTCAGTGTTATCTTAGTAAGTTGATCAAGCTCTGCAATCCAGGTGAGAAGATCACTCCTGATGCCACTAATTTTTAGGCTCTGAAGAAATTTTAGAGGCGAGGCTAATATGACCACCTCCTCCGCATAAGGAGTATCCTCAGTTTTGGAAACCGGTTGGTTCATCTGGATTGACAAAGAGCGGAGGCAACCATGTAATTTTTCAATCTGTTGGAACAAAAGACCCAAGCCACCTTTCTTACAAGAAAGAATCACACCCAGTTTCCTCAGTCGTAATAGATGGCCAACATCAGTTAAATCACTCAAACGGTGGGAAGCTTCAACATGGGACAGTGTCTCCAACTGTTCCATTCTCCTGATGCTGCTGGGAAGGCGCACGGCCATAAACAAATCTTGAGGCCCATCGGAGCTATTGCTTGGAGACTCAGCCTGACCAGCAAGTAGATGTTTTAGCATTGGAAGCATGATCGATTTAGTGGCGAATGACTGTACCGCTGTTTGCCGGATGTCCAAGGTCTCCAGACACTGCAGCCTCTCAATTTGCTTGGGTAGTTCAGTGATATCAGTGTTCCTGAGGCACAAGTACTTCAACAATATTATTTTACAAATGCTCTTCAAATGTTGCTTCTTTAAGCCTCTGCAACCTTCAAGATCCAGCATCTTCATGAGCTGCCACTGAGATGACTTTGCCACGTATGGAAGAAATGCTACAATGCCATTGTTGCCATCAGCTGCCTTCACGGAATGATTGGCATGAGATGTTTGCAATCCAGTTCTGCTGTGAACAGGAAGGTGGCGAGCCAAATCGGGTGGTAAGTCCGTGTCCACAAAGTTAACATCTCTAGCGATCCTGGTGATCACTTCACGAACAATGGCGTGTAATGTGCAGGTCTTGATCTTGCCCGTGTCACTGGTCTCCCCGGGTTGAATGAAACCCCATGAGAAGAGCGCATCGAAATAGGAATCAGCTTCATCTTCTGCACGATTCTCCCTTGAGGTTATTAGTCCTTCAGCTATCCATCTTCTACATACAGTTGTTCTCCTAATGGGGTCACCTTCTGGGAAGATGGTCAGGTAGAACAAGCAGGTCCTGTACTTGGCAGGCAGGTCATTGTAGGAGATCTTCAACATTTGGTTTCCCACACTTTTATTTGCGTCCAGACAACCCTCTAAGCTTTTTTTTAAGTGGTGTAATTGTGTTTTACATCTTCTAGGGTTGACATACAGAAGATGTAGGAACATCTTCATTGCGAAGACATCGGGGTAACATAATCCTAAAATATATTGTATACATTTTGTAGGATCTTCAGAACATCTAGCAAGCTCTATGGCTTTACTGCAGAAAGCACCAAATAGAGTTTGTGGCTTGAGGATTTCATAGGGGGAATCCACTAAGTCCTCATACGATGCGGTAATGACTAGAGCGCTACCAGGAGAGCCATGAGCAGTAACATGCAACATAGCAGACCTTATGGTATTCCAATCTCTCTTACTGACAGCCTCAAGAATGATCAAGAATCGTTTACCTTTGAGGAACCCCTCAAGTTTCTTGCTGAGTTGCATTGCCTCATCCTCCTCGTCATCACCAAGTGATGTTTCTGTACTCTTCTCCGCTTCTACCCTGGGCATGTCTTCTTGTTCAGCTGGAAGGGGCGCCACTTGGTGCAGTATTTCCCACAGTACTTTGACCACAGAATCCAATTTGTTCATGCTGACCCAGGCTTTGCAACTAAATGAGCTGATTTCCCGCTCATATAGTTTCCTAGCAATAAGAATTGTGAAATCATAACCACCTGCGATCATAGGCCCACATCCATTATTGTGAGGATTCCAGGTCATCAGGAATATCCTCGGGTGTGATTCCCCATTTGCTAGCTCATCAACAGGTTCCTCCATCAACAGCAGCACGGACTTGATGGTATCATCCATGATTTTCTGGTCATAAGCCTCTCTGTCCTCCGACCACAAACAGTTGAGAAGAGCCCATCTCCGAGCATCTTCCACCTCTGCTTCTGGTCCATGGGGTGCTTGTACGTCGTCCATGAATATCGTGTCCTCCTGGTCAGCAGCCTCTGGCACGATGACCCCATACCTCAGCTTCCTGTCTCCCACGTCACGGGCCCTGACCTTGAGCTCCCGGATCCGCGTCGCGATCCGGTGCCGCTCCGGGATGGTGCGTACATACCGGACGATGTGTCGGAAGTATCCCAGTAAGCCACTGGCGTGGTGACCAGCGTCTGTGACGCTGTGGATGTAGAGCTCGACGTTGCCCTCGCAGTCGCGGGTGAGGCCAACCACTTGCTTCATCCAGGCGCGAACCTGGTGGTCGCGGTGGTGAGCCTCGGTGAGGTGGAGGAGCAAGCCGTTCATGCTCTCCATCTCATCCTTGATGAACTCAACGTCACCTTGGAGACCACCGAGCAGCCGCGCCTCGTCCACGAGGATGGTGGTGAGGCGGCCGAGGAGCGAGTCGAGGGCACCTTGGGCGTCCATCGTGCTTGATTTGGAGGATGTGGTGTGCACACCAGTGGAAGCGAAAAGCAAGGGAAATGCAAGATGTTGGATTGAAGGTGTGGTTGGGAATTGAGAATATTTGGGAGCTGCAAGGAAGCAAGAGGCTTGTATTTTGTTTTTGCCCCATTTGCAGCCGGCCATTGGGTGCCTCTTCCAAAGCCCAAACATTATTATCTGTCAGTTTAATCAAGTCTTCAAGACTGCTGCGTCTCGAGCGCTGTATCACGTGCACAGTTGCACACCCTGCAGTTAATTATCTCGATGCACTACTGGCTACTCTCTTTGTTTCTAAATATTTGTCTTTTTAAATATTTTAAATGGACTATCATATATGAACGTATATAGACATATTTTAGAGTGTATATTCACTCATTTTGCTCCGTACATAGTCACTTGTTGAAATTTCTAAAAAGACAAATATTTAAAAACGAAGGGAGTATCTGTCAGTTCCAACGGATAGAAAATGGCAACGACTGGTTAGTCAGATCTTGAAGCCCTTAGTTCACGTCCATAAGCATCAATCTCGCACTGTGAATCGTGCACATGGTCAACCCCAGCTTCCGGTCACTCTGAGATTAGTTTAGGTACGGTTATCTATGTCCATTTTTATTCTTTATATGCTGCGAGGATCGATGGGTATGCCGGGTGGAAGACACTACGATTTCTACACGAAAGGCATAGGAGTCTTCTCAGTTTCACATGAATGGCCGCATGAATAATTTCAAATTGCACTCGATAGGATTTCACAGGGTTCTATTGAGAAAGAACATCACCATGTTCGACCGATGTAAAGTTTTTTTTTAGAACGAAGGCTTAAGAAGAGTCCGGCTTTGAATTAACAAAGCCATCAACCGGCCAGGATTACATTGAACAAACAAAGGAAACAAAGAACAAAATAGCAAGCCGATACATGGTGTTGTGTAAAAGCTGTCAGACTACTACAAACTACTAGCAAAGATATGGAAACTAAAGCACAAGTCCAGCTAGAAGTCGAAGAAGCCCTCCACAGCGAGTAGAACACCACGCAGGGAAACAGCAAAGCTTGGGGAAGAACCAAACAGTAGTTGGAGGAGCTCCGTTGTCAGCTCCATGGGCTCTGGCCGTCGATGTCGCCCTCCTCCACCTCAGAAGGAGGCTCCCTGCCCCCTCGCCCTGGCACGAAGGACGCCGATCCGTCGAAAGGTGGAGACGCCCACCCGAGGGCTAAAGAGCGACTGACGCCGTTGCCAACCGAAAGACCACACCAGGACACCACCGCCAAACTACTTGGAGCTCATCCAAGGAAAGCATTGGCAATACAGGATATCTGCACACGAGGAGAGGCAAGCTACACGGCAAGGCTGCTGAAGACCGAGCAACCCCCAACCGGAACAAGCACACTTCCCCCAGAGCTCACCAAAGACGGCACCCCCTTGAGGGTGACGACGCCCACGGCGTCGCTGCCGCCCAATCCCGAGTGATTTTGGTTTTCACCTGTTCCAAGAGCAACATAGGAGGAAGAGGAGGGGGAAAGGGGGCATTTTTACCAGCGCCTACAGGTAGGGTACGACGCCCATGGGCGTCGCCGCCGGCAGGCCGGCATAGCCAGCCACGGATTTCTAAGGTCCCCTCTCCCAACCGCCACCTCGAGAGGAGGCACTACTACGGTGCCCGGAGGCCGCCGGAGAACGGATATGAGACGAGGGTGACAAGAGGTTGAAGAGGAAGATGCCTTCAGATCTAATGCGGGTGCCCTGAAGCCACCGCGCACCACAGCCATCGCCCGCCGCCACCGTGCCGCCCGCACGACCGAGATGGGCGGCCAGCACCCGTTGCCGCCGTTTGCTGAGGACGACGCAGCACCACCGCCTGAGGTCGCCACCTCGACTCCAAGATCCTCCACAGGGGCGGAGCGACCAGATCCTTGCCGCCACCATCCCCGGCGGCCGCGCGGCGCTCCGGCGACCCCCTCCGGCGACGACGAGGGAGAGGAAAAGGGGGAGGGAGCCCCGGCGGCGGGCTAGGGTTTGAGCCGCCCGAGTCACCCCCGCGGGAGCGACGCCGGACCGATGTAAAGTTATGAGTACATGGGTGTGATTAATTGGAAAAATAATCACAGAGCGTGGAATAGGCTTGCGCTGGCCGGTGTACAGTGAATGGCAAATTCGTCCAACACAATTCACGGTTCGAGCTCTTGTGCATCTGATTTGATTCTCTATATCGACGCGGTCTTGGTAGGGAAAGGGCGCGACCAAAGGAGCTATGGTGCAGCTATATCGACGCGGTTTTTTATATTTCTTTTACAAAAATCTTGAAACTATATCCCTATTTAAAAATATTTAAATTCTTTTAAACAGGAATATAGTTTCAAGATTTTTGTAAAAGAAATATAAAAAAATTCTAGAAGAATGTACCAACATAGTATTGTGTTTGTTGATAGTTTTACCTACAAACTTGATCGAACTTTGCATTGCCTGACTTGAGCGAAAAGCCTCTTTGAACAAACATCTCGAGTTCTTTAACGTACACAATCTAGGGCAGGCCAGAGCGCATAGTGTCGTGGTTCTAAGTCTGACAGTAGTGTAAGGGGGTAGGAATGGAGAGGCAAAATCCTAGCTATGGAATAGTTGTATACGCAAGGGATTTACGAGTTCAGGCCCTTCTCGGAGGAAGTAACAGCCCTACGTCTCGGAGCCCGGAGG